CAGGCCAAAGAAGACATTATAGATGTCCGATTAATAACAATTAAGAATATAATAATACAGAAACACCATCTGCTTTAAGCGATATAGTATATGTAGATACCATAGTTACATATGTTAAGAGCAAAAATTCGTTAATCATTTTTATAGAAAAATTCTCTAAACATTATGTTTGTTTTCACTCAGAGAATATTTAAACGTTAATTTAAGAAGATATAAAAAGAAAAATAGTTTGACCCATTCAGTGTAAAATTGAACACTTCAAATATGCATCTAACATTTGACAATATTGTTACAAAACATTTCAAAAATATCGAACAAATAAAAAAACTAAAATGTCATAGCAATGTCTCTTATGGAATAAGTTTATCTGTAATTGTGCAAATTATATTGCATAAAAAGATATAATCGCATAAAATTGTGAGCAAAATATATATAACTATAAAAATAAGAAAGAACATCCAGGAGTATCTTTAAACAAGGTGTGGAGAATTTATGTTCAAATACCGACACACACAAACATACATATTGTATAATATTTGCATCAATTTCCACCAAATAAAAGAGAAGTCGTCTGGATCTTACACACGTCTGTCACGGAATAGGCCGCTTCTTTATTCAATTCCTTCTTAAATATACATTTTGATGAACGGGATATAGCATCACGTCATATGATACATATTTACATATACATAAGGATAGTTCCCATTTACATTCCCTACGCTAGAGTGGAGTGACTAGTCTAAGAATTCAATGCTAAAAGGAGGACACAATTATGCTGATCATTTAGCATTCAGCAATCAGCTGACTGGCATTGGTTTGTGTCCTTGCTAATTGTGTACAGGACTGCATTCTAATGTACTTAAATCTTGAACATCCTGCCCGGCTGAACCCTCGCGGTTCAGTAATTCTTCTGCGGGACCTGTTAGGCGGCATAATTTTTGCAGCGGTCGCTGACACCGCTGTTTAATAGGAATTCCATCCGATGATCTCTGGTTTGCAGTGTACTCTATCGTCACGGTACGTACCAGGCCATCACTGCCCGGGTGAACGTCAATAACACGTCCCATACGCCAAACCAATGGTGGTAGATTTTCACCACGTATAAGAACGATGTCACCACGCTGCACATTGGGTTCCGCTCTAGTCCATTTATTCCGAGTTTGGAGAGTTTGTAGGTATTCGGATTGTCAGCGACGCCAAAAGTGCTAAAGCATTTTCTGGAGTCGTTGCCAATATCGAAGACGATTTTCTGGAGCTTCAGGTAATGGGGGATCTGGGCGGCAATTAAGTGGACGCCCGATCAGGAAGTCCCCGGGAGTTAGAGCTATCCCACCTTCAGGATCATCATAGAGAGCTATCAGTGGTCTCGAATTCAGACACGCTTCAATGCGAGTCAAGAGAGCGGACAACTCAGTGTAACGCAGCGTCTGGCTGCCCATGACCCGCAGTAGATGCTTTTTAGCCGAACGAACTGCCGCCTCCCATAGACCTCCATGATGAGGTGCGGAAGGGGTTATGAACTTCCAACAAGTACCTTCAGCTGCCAAATGTTGTTGAGCATATGTCGCTACCCAATTTCTTAAGTCCTCCTGCATTTGACGATTCGCGCCTACGAATTGTGTTCCATTATCACTGTATAAAGTGGTGCATATACCTCTTCGACTAATGAAGCGATCGTAAACATCTATAAATGCCTGTGTACTCAAGTCCTCTGCCAGCTCAATATGTACCGCTCGTGAAGCCATACAAACAAATATGGCAGCGTATGTTTTTGTAGTCGGGGTAGCACGATGCATTCCCTCACGGACATGGAATGGCCCGCAGTATTCCAATCCGCTACGAGAAAATGGTGGTGCCACTAACACTCGTTCTTTTGGAAGCGAAGCCATTTGCTGGCGTTGTAGAATTTGAAGATGCCTACGACATGTAGTGCATGCATGTCCAGATGAAAGACTTTACTTGAGCTCGTGCCCCTATAAGCCAGAAACGTTGTCTAAGAAACTGCAGCATTTGTTGTTTACCACCATGTAGGCAACGTGTATGCGCATCAGAGACTAGCAAGTAAGCCAGGGCCCCATGTGGAATTATAATTGGATGTCGATGAGCTTCATCTAAGTCGGTGTTGGTGAGTCGACCACCTACTCTCAGTATGCCGTCAGTATTCAAGAATGGATTGAGTGCTATGATTTGACTACGACCCACAATCCTGGAATGCAATGCAAGCGATTTAGTTTCGTGTTTAAAATGATTACCTTGTGCTTGTCGAACGTGCAGAAGTAACGCCCATCGCTGCTCTTCGAGAGAAACTTCATCGTTCCTGTAACCACGATATTTCGGTAACCATCGCCTTAACCAAACAGTAGTGTTGAGTAAACGACTCAATTTGCTAAATTTCTCTACGAGAGGTATCCGCTTGTCTTTCGTGGATGTCATAATCCACTGGTAATCAGCTCTAGAAACGAAGATGGAGACCGGACGAGATTCAGCTATGGAGAGTTGCTCTTCCTCTTCCGTCAAAACGGGTAGGCTCATTGTACAGCCCACACCTCGATGTATGCACGTCGGTCCCGTCCACCAAAGGTGATGCTCTGCTAAGAGAGCAGGAGATAGACCCCTGCTTGCACAATCGGCTGGATTCGTTTCCGAGTGAATGTGTTTCCAAGCGTTAATGTCTGAGTTGGCTTGGATGTAAGCGACACGATTCGATACGTATTGCTTGAACGTGGATGGCGTTTTGCGGATCCAGCATAATACAATAGTAGAATCGCTCCAATACGTACGTTATCCAACGTCTTGGTTAGAAGATGAGCACCACATAGTTCGAGGCGCGGTATAGTCACATCCTTGATTGGTGCTATCTTCGACTTCGCTGAAACAAGAACGGTGCGTGACGTTCCGTTGTTATCAATTTTAGTATCTGGCGTTACTGAGGTTATTTTCGGCACGACAAAAGCCTCAAGTTTGAAGTTACTGCTGTTGTCAAAAGCAGCCTGCATCTGAACCGTTATATGGCCCTTACTATAGACTGCAGCGTTAGAACCAATGCCTTCAATTCGTATCTCTCCTGGATGCCTACGAAGACACATACGTTTTGTAGTAGAATCGGAAATAAGACTCACCTGAGAGCCCAGGTCGCATAAAGCGCGACATGCGAATTGTCTTCCGTTGTGGTCAATAAGGATGACCTTCGCAGTCGCTAATAAAATGGTCCGGTCACCATTTACGAGAAATGACCGGACCTTCCTCAAATGTCACTGTTGTCGTCGATATACCTGTGGCACCTGTGTGGAAGGTGCTCCACTGGGTATATTCCGATCGGGAGTTTGACTGTTAATGTCTTCCACCATAGTCGGTGAGTTGTTCGCAACGTTGTCTTTGCAAAGCATAGTATGATGGCGATGATGGCATTTAAAACAATCACGCGTGGTACAATCGCGCGATCCATGATCAGCCCCAAGACAATTGAAACATAATGAAAGCCGCTTAACTGTATTCCACCGTTCGGGTATTGAAAGATTGATGAACCGTTGGCATTTATATATTCGGTGCCCGTTAGAACAAAGTTGGCAAACAACCGTTGCACCTTTCCCGGAATGTAACGGCTCAGATGAATTTACCGCTGCCACATGAGCTTTAACGGGACGGGCTGGTCTCTGATGAATAGTTGTTGTACCGTTCGTAGTTCCTTGAACCAAATTGTTGGCCCGCTTCTCAGTAAATAGCAAAAAGTCCTGAGCCATTGGTATGTTGTTCGTCTGAAGACTCATCCCCCACTCATACCTAGTGGTGGTAGGCAATTTGGGCAGCAGAAGTGGTACCAATAGGGCGTCCCAATGACTTACCGGAAAGCCCATAACACTTAGGGCTCGCATCACATTTTGCACGGTGTCGACTAGTCGGAGCAAGCACTTCTGGGATTCGACGGGTTGGTTGGGCAAATCCAGGATACGCTGCACGTGAGATTCAACCAACAAACGTGGATTATCAAAACGCCGTTTCAATTCCTGCCACATGTCTTCGTAGCCGCCTGTATATAATCCGCCAACCAATGGTACGCTGTCTGCATTTACATGTTGGCGTAACTTACTTAATTTGTAACTAGAATCCAGATCTGTACGATTATGAACCAGTGCCTCAAACAAATCCTTAAAAGGCAGCCTATTCGCTGGATCACCATTGAACACAGGAATCTTAATTGGATCTAATCGCATGTCCAATTGATTCGTTACACGATTAGCACCTGCACTTGCGCCACATATCCGGCGTAGTCGAATACATATTTGTGTGTACAGCAATTCCGTTGCAGCCAGGAATTCGTCATGCGTGGTCAATTCACTGGCTTGTGCTGAGGAAACCAAGTCAGTATGATACTCCATGAACCTCTCGAAATGTTTATCCAACTGTCCGCGAATCACATCGCACTCAATGCTGTCCGGATCGTAAGTAGCTGCTTCTGTCAGTTTTCCAATGCGCACAATCGCGGCTTGCGCTGAAGTACGTAGATTCAGGCATGCCATACTTATCAATCTTACTTTGAATCAGGATCCAATAGTTCCTCACAGGAGGCACCAAAAAAGATGTATAATATTTGCATCAATTTCCACCAAATAAAAGAGAAGTCGTCTGGATCTTACACACGTCTGTCACGGAATAGGCCGCTTCTTTATTCAATTCCTTCTTAAATATACATTTTGATGAACGGGATATAGCACCACGCCATATGATACATATTTACATATACATAAGGATAGTTCCCATTTACATTCCCTACGCTAGAGTGGAGTGACTAGTCTAAGAATTCAATGCTAAAAGGAGGACACAATTATGCTGATCATTCAGCATTCAGCAATCAGCTGACTGGCATTGGTTTATGTCCTTGCTAATTGTGTACAGGACTGCATTCTAATGTACTTAAATCTTGAACACATATATCTAAACATACTTTTATATATGCGTATAAACATACATACATACCAATTTACATACAATGAAGTGCATAAGTACGAACATGTTTTGTGAGTGCACAAATTTATAGAACATAAAACATGAATTACAAAAGTGTTTTTAGTCATCAAGTTCCCGAAAACGCAGAGTGTACCCGCAACTAACAAACCTGCACTAAAACTAAACAATAGCAAAATCGAAAAAGAGGTGAGTGCTGTCTTTTATTTTAAAACACTGTAACGGATTTCTCGCTTAATCTTTTACCCTATAACTCACTCTTGAGTTCGATCACTGGATTGTTAAATAAAAGGCCCAATTTAATGGCTATACACTTATTTTTATTTCTAATTCCAACAACTTAACACTTATTGCTCGGATTTGAGGCTACAACTTCTTGCTTATGTCTCAATTGCTGTCTAGTTGCTTCTGGCAATTTATCGTCGGTTCGATTTTCTTCTATCATCCATGATCGTCACACTGGCCTGGACCTAAGTCTGATCGTCCAGATAACACACATTTGCGGTACCAAACGCAAAGCTTTTATGTCCCCCATCTCGCCTTCTACGCTGGTGTTATATTCCGTAGCCGTCCTTCTCTTCTTGGAGTCAATTCCGTCTGTCTGGCGGATACCCAGTTTTGATACAGCCCTTGACTTAAAGCTGACTCGAGATCCCATTCTTGATCAGAATGTAACTCCATTGTATCACCGAATCTCGTGACCCACTTGTTGATGAGTGCGTCCACCACTGCTTCAGCCTCTTGATTAGAAATTGTGTACATTTCTTTGACTACCAAAACATTATTATTTCCTAATATATAGGGGTGAATTGGACTATCTTCATTCACGCCTATTCGCTCCACTGGCGCATCCGAATTGTACTGCTTCATCTGGCCATGACTCCGGGACCTCGATTTCTTAGCTACAATGCATTCAGGTTTTCGTGATCCTCAAGCGCCCTCCTCTTTGACCTTTGTACCACACGTTAAGAACTTTAGGAATTCTAGCCTTTGGTACAACCATAAGTACTCGGGAGGTTTGCCCATTTTCGCTTTTTCATACTCGATGCAAGCAGCCACACACTAACTTTAAACTGCTCCGCTCTGCCCAATATGCTTTAGCGGCTTTCTGAATTTTTTTCTCCATTCGTTGTACATTGGTTCAACTCCATTTCATGGATTACACTTTTAAATTCGGGAATTTCAGGTTTAATTGTAGACTGCTCTTCCACCTGTTCTGGTCTACACGCTTCTTGCTCTTCTGACTGTGAGAACCCTTGTGAGCACACCTGCGCTGACATACTCACGTCCAGAACTTTCGACTGTGATCACCCTTGTACTGGTTCACACGCTTCCTCTTCTTCCTCGGTTGAACATTGAGTATCATTCTTTTCTTGTACTCTCGTTGTTTCTCCCTCTAATTCCAATTGAAACACATATTCGTAAACATTAACGTTTTCTGCATCCATAGCCTCTCGTAAACGTGACTGTAAGTCGCACTTTACTCGTTATTCGAGCTTTTTTCTTATGTCTCAATTGCTCTTAACACGATAACACTCTAACTAGAACTGGGTGTGCTGCACAGTCTTACAGCAATTGGATAGAGTGAGAAAAACATTGAATATCAATTGGCGGTGTGTTACTTTTTTCTCACTCTCTGAACCAAAGTATCAAATATTAACTTATGCAGAAGGGAACAATAATAAACGATTAAAACTTTAGATCGATAAGGTATCACTGGTTATTTGACATTTTGCAACCCTTTTGTTATTTTCAGAATTTATTGAATTAAACTGTTTTTGCACTATATATTGTAAAGTGAATGTGTACAAATGGATAAGTGAAGTGTTAAATGATATAAAAGTTAAGAATTTAAGTGCATAATTTATTTTAAATCGAAAAAATACGTACTTTAAATAGTTGATATTTTAAATTTTAAACGTAAATAGCTAGAAAACTATAAGTTTCCCGCGGCTATATTTACAAATATTTTTGATCTGGAGGATCTTCTCTGTCCGCTCATACCCATTTTATCCCGAAAGCCTGGGACGGTATATTAAAGCCGACTCAAAACGTTTTATAACAGATAGCCATCTTGCGAAGGGGTTTCTTTCATTTCAGAGCTACCTATTTCAAATTTACGTTTGACCGACTACGGTAACACTGAATATAGTACCCTAGACTTAAATGATATCGATTATTTTGTGAACATATGGCTTAAAGTCAGAAAATTATTCGTGAGTGATAAATTAAAAAAAAAAATAAATTTCCAATTCATGTAATGGTGATGTGGGTTGTTATTAATATCTTTTTTTTGTGATGTTTTCGTAAACTAAACTTAATCAGAATTATGACGAACCAGTTGACACGGTATAAACAAGAAGTCCGAAAGCAAAATGTTTATTATTATAAAGGAGTAACTGCTGACCTAGCCGTGGATAGAGATAGTTCCTCATCAAGGCACGCATGGTCTAAAAGCAGTACAATTCCAAAGGTTGGTGTACTTTTCGTTGCCATTTGCTTCCTTCTATATGTTTTATGGGGGACTTTGAATGTTACTATTGCTGACTCTACCGAGAGCAATCTCTCAGGTAATTAATTAAACGTAGATCTAAAATTTTTTTCTACTATAAGTGAAGACAATATGGGAAAACTTTAGTATAACGTCCCAGGCTTTCGGGGATAAAATGGGTATGGGCGGATAGAGGAGATTCTCCAGATCAAGAATATATAGATATAGCCGCGGGAAACTTGTAGTTTTCGAGATATTTGGGTTTAAAGTTCAAAATTTCGACTATTTAAAGTACGCATTTTTCCCATTTCGAATGAGTTATACACTTATATTTTCCACTTTTATATCCACTAACACTTCACTAATTCGTTTGTACACATTTATTTTACATAATATAGTGCAAAAATAGTTTAAATCAATAATTAAATTATTGTTAAATTCTATTAATTCTGACAATAACAAAAGGGTTGCAAAATTTCAAATAACCAGTGCTACCTTATCGACATCTTTTGTAATTGAACTAAAAGAAATTTAAACAGATAATACCCCAAATACAGGAATCCAAAACCTAGAGAAATAAACTATTACAAACCATTGCTGTTAAGTATTATGTTATACCCTCTATGACAATATTACTTTTTTCTTGTAGAACTTCTTTTTGCGTTGGCGGCCTTCGGCCGCGCTTCAAAAAAAAATAACCCTGGTCGGTCCAACACCGGGGTGTATCAAAATATATGAAAACTTTAGTTTAGCATCCCAAGATTTCAGGGTTAAGAGGGGTATGGTTGAATAGAGGAGATGCTCCAGATCTCGAATATATATAATTATTGCCGCCGGAAACTTATAGTTTTCGAGATATTTGCATTTTAAGTTGAAAATTTCACAAATTTCATTTTACAATTTCTCGATTTATGGTTATCTTTTCTTTTATATTATACACTTATTACACACTAACACTTCACTTCAATGTTTCTACATATCTATTTTATATTAAATATTTAAGTATTTGCTTTAAATAAGCATTTAATTTTTATACAATTTTCGTAATATGAACAATAACAAATGGGTTCCATGTTGTCAGATAATAAGTATTGCCATATCCAAACGGATGAAAGCAATCAAAATAAATAAAAAACCTAATCACCCTCTACAAAATATTATGAACTTAATTTTCCATTTTAATAAACGAAAAAGGTTTTATGGCTTAAACGTATGTTTTATTGCATCTGATAATTTCACAAATGGATCATGATGCTGATTTACTATATTTTTACGCCATATGGTATTGGATTGGGCAGGGTTATTTTTTTAAAGCGCGGCCGAAGGCCGCCAGAGCGGAAAGAAGTTTGACGCGATTAAATTATGAACAGACCGGTGCTGGACCGACCAGGGTTATTTTTTTGAAGCGCGGCCGAAGCCGCCAGTGCAGAAAGAAGTTTGACGCGATTGAATTATGAACACCCCGGTGTTGGACCGACTAGGGTGAATACTCATATATCAAATTTTCAAAATCTTCACTGTTATAATAATTATCGTTAATAAAATGACGTTTATAGAGTGATATATTCTCTTTACATTACTTTTTGTTAAGATTTTTATTTGCACTGCGCCTTCGACCGCGCTTCAATAACAATCAACACCGGTTCTAATTCAATCGCTCAAACTTCTTTCTCACTCGCTGGCCACCACTAAAATAACCCTGTCGTCCAACATCGGGTTTCATAATTTAACGCGTCAAATTTCTTTCCGGACTGGCGGCCTTTGGCCGCGCTTCAAAAATAACCCTGGTCGGTCCAACATCGGTGTTCATAATTTAATCGCGTCAAATTTCTTACCGCACTGGCGGCCTTCGCGCTTCAAAAATAACCCTAGTCGGTCCAACACGGGGTGTTCATAATTCAATCGCGTCAAACTTCTTTCTGCACTGGCGGCTTCGCGCTTAAAAATAACCCTGGTCGGTCCAGCACCGGTCTGTTCATAATTTAATCGCGTCAAACTTCTTTCCGCTCTGGTGGCCTTCGGCTGCGCTTTAAAAAAATAACCCTGCCCAATCCAATACCATAATTTATAATAGAAGGGAATGAACAAAATTATAGTTCATGTATTTGGGGTATAATCCTCTTTTATTGTTCATTTTTAATTCGCTTTAAAAATATATATTTATATATATATATATATATAATATATATATAATAGATATGGCAACACTTATTATTTGACAACATGAAACCCATTTGTTATTGTTCATATTACGAAAATTGTGTAAAAATTAAATGCTTATTTAAAGCAAATACTTAAATATTTAATATAAAATAAATATGTAGAAACATTGAAGTGAAAAGTTAGTGTATAATGAATGAATAATATAAAAGAAAAGATAACCATAAATAATTATATATATTATATTTTTATAATTATATATATTATATTTTTATATTTATATATAATTATATATATTATATTTT